CGGCCCCTCTTTTGTTTTGTTGATTATTCTTTCCACAGCCGCAGCTTGTCTGAATGTCATCAGTTGTTAGAAACCAGAATGAGATAAAAGGACATGTTTTGTTGTTTTCCACAGTTGAGGTAAAGGAGGATGTGTTGTGGACAGAAAAATATCAGCCGCAGCACTCTGGTGACATCATTGGCAACACGGCCTCAGTCCAGATGCTGCACAGGTAAGCACCAAAATGACTTTTTTGTTTTTCATTGTTGAAATAACCAGCTTACTTAATTTCTTTTTCCCTTTTGCACAGTTGGCTGAAGGAATGGAAGCTCCGTGCAGACAGGGACGAGAGAAATAAGCAGAAAGAAAAGAAGCAAGAAGAAGGCAGCAATGGTGTGTCATTTCTAAAAAAAATCGTTTTTAAAAATTATTATTTCTTTAATTTTCATAATCTACCCTACTTTTATGAACTGAATGTCTGAATATTTGTCTTTTGTTTCAGACTCAGACTGGGACTGTCGAGATGAGGACTCTCTGTCCGCAGAGGACTCGTTGTGCAATACCGTCCTAATTATAGGACCCACAGGAATAGGAAAGACTGCCTCAGTCTATGCCTGCGCTCAGGAGTTGGGCTTTAAGGTGAAGACAGAACATGATGACGCAAAAGTTAATGTGTCCTGCGGGTGCTCGTGGACCTTCGCCTTACGTGTTTGTCTATCTCCCTCCTGGTCTTCCAAGGTGTTTGAGGTGAATGCTTCATCTCAACGGAGTGGCCGTCTGATTCTGTCCCAGCTGAAGGAAGCCACTCAGTCGCACCAAGTGGACAGTCAAGGAGTCAGTGCCAACAAGCCCGCATACTTTAACAGCTACAGCACAAGCAGCGGCACCGGGAAATATGGATGCTCTCCAAGTACGTACAAATATTGCAGACCCTGTCTCTGTAGATCCTAAATTCCAAAATGATCCCGAAGAATTACATTTGATCCCTAAGACGCGGTTCACAAGTCTGAAAAATGCCACATTGTCTGTTGTCATTTTCTTGTTAAAAGCTGCAATAGCTGTGGAATAGGTTTATGGTTTTGCTATATAGTGTCGCAAGGATACGAAAGTTAAACGACTAATGCGGCATCAAACTGCCGTCATATAAAATTGGCCCCATACACTCCCAGTAGTCGCGTTCATCGAATGAAAGGTCTTGAATTTAAACAAAGTGGCCTTATAAAAAAAGGTGTAAAACAATTGACATCCTTGATGCTGGAAAGTGAGCTCAACTTGTTTCATTTCTCTATCATTCAGGGAAGTTGAACTCTCCTCGCGGGGTTGTCTCATCTCCCAGAAAACCTCCCACCTCCCCGAGAGGTACGAAACGAGGAGGCCTGGCTCCAACCTCTTTAGCTAACTTTTTCAAAATGGCTCGACCCAGCAACAAGGACCCACTGAGCACTAAGCGGGAGGACCAAAAGGGTAAATGCTTCAACTGTGTCCTGATCAAAAAAAAACCCCAAACAAACTTAAGAGTTTTTATGAATAATTTTTGTTCTTTCACCTCATAGCCCCGTCCAAGAAAGTGAAGCCGCAGGACAACCCCAGAAAACAGAAAGACACAACGGTCAAATCACCCGTGGCTTCCACGACTGAGGAGAACGAGGAGCAGAGCAAGAGGACGCCCACCTCGCTCATCCTGTTTGAAGAAGTGGATGTTATTTTTGAGGAAGATGCTGGCTTTCTTGCTGCCATCAAGACATTCATGAGCACGACAAAGAGACCAGTCATCCTCACCACCACCGGTTAGTAGAAGCATGGAGGCCACAACATGAATTATATCTGCACATTCGAAAGAGAGATGAGCTGTATTTAACTTGTGTGAATATGAAGATTCTGCCTTGCCTGTTCGCCCCACAACTCACACTGGATGCTTTGCAGATCCCACATTCAGCACCACGTTTGATGGCAACTTTGAAGAGATCCACTTCAAAACACCCTCTTTGGTGAGTGGCGGCCTCTTTCGGGGATTCATTCACCACATGCTTAAGTTGGGCCTTACAAATCTCTCCCTGTCTTAGTTGGACGTCAGCAGCTATCTGCGCCTGTTGTGTCTGGTTGAGGACACCAGGACGGATCAGCGTGACGTCAGCGCGCTGCTCCAACTCAATGGTTGTGACCTCCGGCGGAGCCTGTTGCAGCTGCAATGCTGGACTCGAAGTGCTGGGGGGCGCCACATGACGTCACACTCAGATGACAGCAACCCAAATGGTAAATGCAGTAGTGTTCATCTAATTCATACTTCCGATCACGTTACTGACTGAATGGGGCAAATAAACTCGGTATGTGTGGTTTAAATTTAGAAAATGAACCGAAGCGAGAGCCCGGTGATGAAACGGCAGACACGTGTGCGCTCTCTGTAACGTCACCTCGACCTCCATGTGAAAGCGGCTGTACGGAGAGCCGGCTGGGCCTACTGAACATTGAACCTGAGAGGGATGTTTGGGAGCTGCTTCGGGTAAACTGCAGAATTATGACATGCATTGCTAGCTTTTGACCCTCAACACAAATAGCATTTCCCTTCAAATTGCATTAGTTTGATACTGTGTATTGAAATTATGATATGAAAGTTTTTGGTCGCTTTTTTTAAAAATTGTTGCTCATTTTTAATTGTCAGTTGTTTGGATTCACGCCAAATATATTTGTTCATGGAATTGTATGTGTAGGTTGGTTCGTGTCTCTTTAAAGCTATACAGTATTACTGTTACTGTTGAAACAATGAATGGTACATTTGGCAACATTCACATTTACAGAAAAAAATATATATATATCCGCGTAGCATAATGCGTCGATGCTAGCACGTGTATTGAGTAATGACAGAGTACATTTTTGCATCAACAGAGTCAGACGCATGAGATGGCTTGCTGGGAGCTGCTCATGGAGAGCACTCGACAAGGAGTTAACTTGCTCTACTCCAACATGGAGACCCTCTTACCTTTACCACGCACGCAGTTGATCTCCACCTACAAACCAGAACCCCCTTCTGATATTGCTTCTGCCTGCTCGCAGTCTGACGCGCTGCCTTTACACGAGCGGCTGCCGCACTCACCCGGGTTGGCTGAGAGCTCAGATGACGGGAGTCCAATCAAAGTGTCTCGAAGGATGAAACGGAGCAAGAGGCGACACAATGTACCTAACCAAGATGGACTGCACTCTGAATCCGACTCAGAGGAGAGTTTCCTCTCTCTCTGTAAGCAGCAAGAGGGACCTCAGTCCAAAGAGGAACCCAGTGAAAGACTAGTTCCACACTTAGAAAAAAGGAAACCACTGACTCAGGCGGAGCGTCAAAAGAGTGTTCCTGTCTCCTTGTGTCTAGAATCGATAAGTGACTTTTTCCACAATATGTCTGACCTTGACTCCTCACTCGTTCATCACGGGCGCGATGCGCACAGGGGACCCTCGCAAGTCAGTGCAGCTCTGAAGGACGGAATGACTGATGACTCCAGAGTAGAACTGGACACGTTGAGCTGGGTGGTGGGCGAGCGCACGCTGGAAATCCAGACCGCGGTTGAGGCGCTGAGCTTCCACAAGTGTCGGCGCTCTGTGGAAGAGGCCTGGGACCGAGCCCGGCGACTGGAGGGGCAGCTGGCGGACGACACTGCGGCGGAACTCACCCTCCCTGTTGCCGCTCATTGCGAATGTTACAGATTCACTCAGAGTAGCCTCTGTCAGCCCCAGTGAGTCCAACATATACTAGATATCAATTGTAACTTTTGTTTGTGTAAACTTTCCCCGACAACAATGTTTATTCCAGGATTGTGCAGCAGAGGAGAGATCTTATGGAGAACCTGGTGTGCACCGGAACATTTGCTACGCTGGGCAACAGATCTGCGGTTGCCGTGGACTACTTGCCAGCCCTGCGCACCATCTGCAGGTCAGAGCAGATTAAGGAGCAAGGCAAGGTGAAACGACGGTGAGCAGGCAGTTGGCCAGGAAGCGGTTTCTTCAGGCGGGCACTTACTCAGAGCTATAAATAAAAGTGTGAAACTCTTTGTTGGTGCATACAGTAAGGGTCTCCTTTTCTTCTACCAGGTTTTTGCACTACCTGGACTCCATCCGTCTGGGTCTCCACAAGAATAGTCTCCAATACCTTTCCAAAGACTTCCCATAATCCTCAGAGAAGAGCTTGCATGTACTTGTGATGACGGAGATTTTAATTTCACAAGCAGTTATGGGTTCCAGGTAAAATGCGGCACAGGTGTGGTGTTTTGTCTGCTGGGGTTAGGAACCTCGACTACATTGGCAACCCGCTTTTAGGTGTAAGTTGCTCACTTAGCCGCGTCCAAGCGAAGTCTCAGAGTGGGATGACTTGAATTACGACCACAACAGAAATGTTCTGGCATCACTCGTCTCACATGCGGTGTTGCACTAAATTGATCACTTAAGCAATGTGTTTTTGTACATTTGTTTTTTGGTTTTTGTTTTTTTTTTTTTTTTTTTTTTTACTCGGTAGCAATTATGAATTCTTTACTTTTTGCTTTTTGTTTTTTTTTTTTTTTTTTTTTTTTTTTTTTTTTACTCGGTAGCAATTATGAATTCTTTACTTTTTGCTTTTTGAGAAGTGATTCTAATCGCAAAGGAATTGCTTTTGGAGCAAGTGTGGATCTTTGATCAATCATAAGAGTTGAATGTGAAAAATAGCAAAACATTTGTGTGTTAAGGCTTTGTATGAATTAGTCAACGGCCATATAATGTATGGAGTGTCTTAATTGTTGACTTTGAAGTCCTAAATGGCACATTCACATGATCACATTTTTTACACATACCTTATATTTGTACACTTGAATAAAATTGAAGTTTTATTCAACTTTTACAAAGTGTCCTCGCTTTATTTAAAATGTGAAATTGGCAGTACTTTATTAGCATGTGAGAAAGGAAAGAAAAGCCCTCAGGCACTTGACACTCGTCGCTGCAGGATGAACAATGGTAAGAGGAAGGACCGCCTTGTGTTGTGACATGAACAAACCTCGCAAGTTCCACATTCCATTTTAGACTTTGTGTTTACCGCATTATGCCACTTGCGCAAATATGTAGGCACCATGGTTCTTTTTGAGGGTGCCACGTGTAAGCCTAATTGTGGAGCACCATGGCAAACTGGGAACGAAACAAAAGGATCTTACTGGAGCTGGTGAAGCTGCCGGAGAACAGACTTTGTGCAGACTGTGGTACACCCGGTGAGGCTTTTTTTGTTTTTGTGGATTCTTCAGATGTTCTGTTTGCGATTGTCCTGGCTAGAACAACAACTAACCTCCTAATCTTGTCTTGTTACCGTCAGATCCGGACTGGGCATCCTACGAGTTGGGTTTGTTTGTGTGTCTGAACTGTTCTGGTGTACACCGCAACCTGTCCAGCCGAGTAAAATCCATAAAGCTTGACTACTGGGAAGATGAGCTCGTGGAGGTATGGACACACACATTTAGGTACAATATGATGGTTTAGTTTTGTACAATATTATGATGAAAAAGTTTTCTTTTTCGGGGGCCTGGGGGAAGTTGATGAAATCCAGTGGCAATGCCAGAGCCAGAGCTTTGTATGAAAAAGCACTTCCTCCTTACTACTACCGACCACAGCAAACTGACTGTGCGTAAGTATATATATTTTTTTTTGGTACGGTATTTTGAAACCCCTCACAAAACTGAATGATCAGTCCCATAATAAGAAATGTGCAACTACCGGCAAGCGGAGGCAAAACCATATTTTAAGATAACATTTATTTCGTGAAAGTGAGGTTTCCAATTGAAGTGACCCCTGAAAGGGGAAGTCAACTCAAACTTTTCCTTTCCAATAATATCTGCGCCCTCACTAGTCAAAACAAAGTACTCTGATTAATAATGTGTTTGCGGAAGATCAATTAAGCAGCAAAATCCATGCGTTTTTATCCATCTCCAGGGGGTGGCCATTTTGTCACTTGCTGTCCACTGAAAATGACAGCACAGTTGCTCGGGTAACGACCAATCTCGGCTCACCCGTTTTCTGGGTTTTGGTCATTTTTTGACGTTGGTGAGCTCAGCCGTGATTGGTCATTACCGTGGCAACTGAATGTCATTTTCAGTCGACAGCAACTGGCAAAATAGCAGCACTTTGAGATGGATTAAAAATGGGTGAAGTTTGCTGCTTCATTCATATTCCACAAACAGAAAATGAAACAGAATACCGTGTTTGGACTACTGCGGTTGCGTAGAGCATAATAGTGAAAATATATATATATATATATATATATATATTTTTTGTGCTAATTTGCACTTTAAACCTGCAAGTAAAGCAGAGTGACTATGAAGTCAGAAGTTGTTGCGCTGCCTCTTTATGTTTGTTTGACTCTCCAGAGTGTTAAGAGAGCAGTGGATTCGAGCCAAATATGAAAGGTTTGAATTCACAGGAGAGACCAAGTATCCACCTCCATCTTATACCACAGGTGATGTTTTATCCTCTCACCCATCCCGCCGTTTCAATTGTTCATGTAAGGAGGAGTTCCCGTTTTGATTTGATTCCAGGCTTCTATGAAGGGATCTTGTGGAAGAAAGGAAAGGAGAACACACAGTTTCTGAAGAGGAAGTTTGTTTTGTCTGAGAGGGAATTCACTCTGGCTTACTACAACAAGGAAAATGTGAGTGAGCTTGCAAATAGCGTACGAGTTTCTACATTTTATCTGGCAACCAAAACGGACGCCAACATGCTTTTCTTTTATTTAGGAGTCCAAAGGGCCAAAAGCCCTCATCTCTATCAAGCACTTGAATGTAACATTTCAGCCAGAAAAGATCGGTCATCCCCATGGGATGCAGATTACTTACCTTGACAGGGACCACACCAGGAGCCTTTATGTGTACCACGAGAGCCCTGAGGTGGGACTGTGTGATCATCCCAATAACGAACTGACTTTCCCCGGTTCCCCTTTTTTTTACTCTGGACCTGATGGGTTTTCTTTTTGGATCCTAGGAAATAGTCACATGGTACAACGCCCTACGTGCCGCTCGCTATGCATACCTAAAGACAGCTTACCCGACCGGAACCGATGCCGATGTAAGCGCCCAAAGTGTTCATTTTCAAACATGAATTCATCATATGTAAATATTTTCACCTCAACTGAGAAGTGCCTGAGTTGAGTGAGAAGAACCTGTACTGTATGTTCTTTGGTCGTGACATGAGTGAAACGTGAACTCTCATTGGCAGCTGATACCGAATATAACACCAAACTACCTGAAAGAAGGATACATGGAAAAAACAGGGCCATCGGTAAGTTCTTGCGCTCAAATGACATCACCCATTTACATGTGTCTGTGCTAATAATTAGGTTGTTGATTTTCTTTTTCTTCAGTAAAGCATTTTTTTTTTTTTTTTTGCTTTGCTTCCCAGCTTTGTTGCTCACACAGTGTGCAGACTAGGAAACCTGTCAATATGTGCAAAAACATTTATTTTTCTAAGAGCATATTTTTGTTTATTTTTATGGCTTTAACACATCTGTTATTGTATAATTCATACTATGTTTACCAGCAAAAGGAACCGTTCAAAAAGAGGTGGTTCATTTTGGACTCCCAAAATAGGAAGTTGCTTTACTTCAAAGGCTGTTTGGTGAGAACAAACTTTTTGTATTACTTGACAGATGAGTCCCTTGCTGTGGAAGTGCATGTCTGAAAGTGCTTTTGTCACTGTGAATCTAGGACGCTGAGGAATTGGGGGTCATCTTTCTTGGCACAGAAAGCAACAGTTACTCTGTTAGGGACTGTGTCCCAAAGCACACCCGTGGGAACAAATGGAAGTACGGCCTCGTGGTGGAAACACCCGAGCGGCAATTTATCTTCATGTGCGAGCACGAGAGTGAGCAAAGAGAGTGGCTGGACTCCCTCAGACAGGTCATGTCCAGGCCTATGACACCACAGGATTATACCAGTAAGCATGGCAATGCGAATTTGAGAATCATTTACAGAAGTGTCTGCAGATGTGCATTTTTTTGTTTTGTTTGTCTTTGCAGCTGAGGCCAACATCAGGAATAAACGATGAAAGCTGGAAAGTAGGATTTAAATTATACAACAGCAACATTTGAATGGTGACCTGCGCTGTGCCATGAATGTGTCCGTGAAAGAACAACTGTGGTAGTTTTCATTTGAAACTGTATTGAGTTGAACTTTTTTTGTACCAAATAAATAGTTCTGACAACCATGTCTTACATCAAACTTTTTTTCTTATCATTTTATTGCTCTATTCCCGAGTCATTTGTTAAGCTGAATTGATCAGCTGTTGCAACAGTTATTTGCTGCATTGATTTAGTTGCTGTTTCCTCAACTTCTTTTTGAAAATAATTTTTATCTCAATAAATGTTTTTTTAGGCGGCATGGTGGGGGAGTGATTAGCACACTTCCTTCAAAGTGCTGTGGTTGTGGGTTTAATTGAAGACTCGAAATTGCATACTGTGACTTGATCGTAGGCTTTGTGAAGCATCTGCAGTTCTCCTCTCTTACACCTGAGGGCAGCATTCAACGTTTTATAATACCTAAACTGATTGTCCCCTTACGGCTCGCCGTAGTTGCCGGGTAGTGGAGGTCAGGCGTGCTCCTGAACCAACTGCGAAATGCTATAGAATCGCCTTAAACGTGTATTCCGTTCAAAAAAAATCATGGCGCATAACAGTCGGTTACTTTTTAAAATGCATTTGCATTAAGCTTAAAAAAAAGTGCTCGCTGTGACGTAGCGCGTGAAGAACGACACCAAAAAGCGACCGTCCGTTTTGTCCTACAAAGGCGCCCAGTTTGACAGGCGCTGGGCCTGACGTAAGACAAACTACCGAAGGAGTGACAGCCAACGAGGGGACTTCATGAAGCAATTCAGTGTCCCTAATACTGAAGAAAGGCTCGTTTAAACATGAGGAAGGACGTGAGGATACTGCTTGTTGGGGAACGTAAGTAGTGAGTGTCTTCAATGTGTCTCGGCTGCAAAGCGCTTTATCCGCTTATACTGTGTGCTAGCGAGGAGGCTAGTGGCTAGCTAGCACTTCAGTAGCACAGTGTGTTGCACGACAACATGAAAAAAATGAGCTATAAAAGTCATTATTCCTGATCATTCCACTATTAAACTGTAGGAAATCACTCATATTGAAATAAAGTGTGAGATAGACTTCCCTCCCACAACATTCAGAATATATTTAGGAACTGTGATTTGCAAATAAATTGGGCAGCTCAAACACAAGTGGCTGAGTTTCAATGTTTATCATAAATGACATGTAAAAGGCGTGCGGTGCATCCGTTTTTGATGGATGCGTTTCTTATCTGTACAGCCAAGGTGGGAAAGACGTCACTGATCATGTCTCTGGTCAGCGAGGAGTTTCCCGATGAGGTGATGGTTATCCACGCAAACGTTGATTCAATAAATGGTTACCTTGTTGCCAGTTGATGCAAGTGGTTGTTTTCAATGTGTCAGGTTCCTCTGCGAGCTGAGGAGATCACCATCCCGGCAGACGTCACCCCAGAGAGGGTCCCCACACACATTGTGGACTACTCAGGTACTGAAAGAGTGCTGAGCACATCTGCCTCACGGTTTTGTAGTTGGGGGTTGGGGTTGAATTCAGGCTGTGTCTTTCCTATGTGGACTTTTTATGTTCTCCGCGTGCTGACTCTGTATGTGTGAATGTGAGTGTGAATGGTTTATTTGATTCTATGTGCCCTGCGATTATCTGGTGACCATTTCAGGTTGTTCCCTGACCCTCATCCAAAGTTAGCTCGCGTAGGCCACCATTCTATTTATTGAGGTTAAGCCGTACAGAAAATGGAAGGATGGATGTCCCCAGCATGTTTGGCACCAAAGCAATATTTTTTAAGTTACTCTGTCTGGCCTGCCGCCAATCTATTTGGACCACTAGTTTTAGTAGTCACAACATTGATTCAACTATTAACTTTTTTTGTTTGTTTGCATCTTACAGAGGCAGAGCAGTCGGAAGAGCAACTATATCAAGAAATATCTAAAGTTGGTTTAGTTTCTGTTCTCCTATTTTGACGTTTCAATAATTCTCAGTGTTTTTTTCCTCCATAAATGAGAAGCTAATTTGGACTATTCCACCTTTCAGGCAAATGTCATCTGCATAGTGTACTCGGTCAACAACAAGAAGTCAATTGAAAAGGTGAGCAAAGATCCTACTCTGGCTTCTGTTGATTTAGCCTGGGTGTGTCTCCAACAATGGAATTGCATTGTATGAGGTGTCCAATGGGAGCCATGCGAGTGTATTTGTTTGTCGTGAGTGTTCAACGTTGTGCTGTCCCTCTCCCAGGTGACAAGCCATTGGATTCCCCTCATCAATGACCGAATAGACAAAGACAGCAGGTGTGTCTTGTATTTATCCTGACAGTCACTTCATTTGGGCCGATTGCACTGTGTTAAATTTTAGAGTGCAAAAGATTTTCATCCCCCAAAAACATTTTCGGTTGGACAATATTCATGGCACGGAAGGGCTTTTTACACCCCCTAAAATTGGAGACACTCTAACGAAATTCTTTATCTACTCGCGCATGTCAGACTAATAAAAGTGCTTTTTCTTTTTAATTATTAAATATTTTTTGTTGCTGATAAATTGATGCTGCTATATGATGTATAAATCATAGTTACATAGTGCCATTCATGTTTTAAATTGTGGCCAGTGGCCTTTATGTTTTAGGATGATCGCGTTTTGGCGCTTACGTAGTACTTCTTTCGGTAGGGTACCCCTGATCCTCGTGGGCAACAAGTCTGACCTGGTGGAGCACAGCAGCATGGAGACCATCCTGCCGATCATGAATCAATACCAGGACATAGAGACGTGTGTCGAGGTAAGATAACGTGACCAGACTGCTGCGTTCGGGTCTGCTGACATAGACGAAGATCCTCTCACTTAAATGTTCAGCACAAGGGGGTCCTCGGTGTACAACGGAGGTCCTTAAGCCCCATCTATGCTCTTGTTTCCTTATAGTGCTCTGCCAAAAATCTGAAGAACATCTCAGAGCTCTTCTACTATGCTCAAAAAGCCGTTCTCCACCCAACGGGACCACTGTACTGCCCTGAGGAAAAGGAGGTGAGAAATGTCGCTGAAGACTGTGGACATTGCCCGACGCAGATATTTTGTTCTCCGAATTTGACAGCCAAGCGCAGAGAGCCTAACGTGTTTCGTACCTAACGTGTCTTAACAGCTGAAGCCTTCTTGTATTAAGGCTTTAACTCGAATCTTTAAAGTATCCGACCTGGACAACGACGGCATCTTGAATGACAACGAGCTCAACTTCTTCCAGGTAGTATTTGATCATCATGCCATATTTCTGATCGAATATTGCAATTCTGTGCATGACCTCCATCCAAATGGGCATCACGTCGTGTTCCGAATTTGCTCCATCATTGTGATTAGCGTTTGATTTTTGTTTTATTTCTGTAGCGAACGTGTTTCAACACGCCACTGGCGTCCCAGGCTTTAGAAGACGTTAAAAATGTCGTCAGAAGAAACATGGCCGACGGCGTCAAAGATAACGGTCTCACACTAAAAGGTCAGACCTCGTCCCCGTCGGTCTATTCTGATCAGACAAAATTTGCGATCGCTCCGTTTGCTGACCTCCTCTTTTCCTTCACTTTTAGGTTTCTTGTTCCTGCACACCCTCTTCATACAGCGCGGCCGGCATGAGACCACCTGGACTGTGCTGAGGAGGTTTGGTTACGACGACGACCTGGATCTCACGCAGGAATATCTGTTCCCTGTGTAAGTGCTGGAAAATGTGAAACTTCCAATTCCTTTGAAGCAGCTTTTGTTTTTTTGTTTGTTTTTTGGGGGCGTGATTGGGGTTAATCTTTGTCCCTCTTCCAGAGTCAAGATCCCTCCTGACTGCACCACAGAGCTAAACCACAATGCTTACCTCTTTCTCCAGAGCGTCTTTGACAAACACGACAAAGTGAGTGGTCAGATTGACCGCGTGGCCAAACCTTAACGTGTGACTTATGTGACAAGACTAAATCAATTCTGCCATTATTTCACAAACGTCTCACAAATGACTACCTGCGGTCAGCTTTGCATGAGCCCGCCGTGTTGACGGACATTGGGGCGTGTGTTTGTGCGTTCAGGACAGAGATTGCGCACTGTCGCCCGAGGAGGTGAAGGACCTGTTCAAAGTATTTCCCTACATGCCGTGGGGTCCGGACGTCAACCACACGGTGTGCACTAATGAACAGGGATGGATCACATACCAGGGATACCTCTCCCAGTGGACGTGAGTTTCCAAATGCTTTAGTTGCATAACTGGACAAAAAACAAAAAACTCAGGTTCAATTGCCATGCAGGTTAACGACATATCTGGATGTTCAACGGAGTTTGGAGTACTTGGGTTACCTTGGATACTCCATCATCTATGAGCAGGAGTCCCAAGCAGCTGCTATCACAGGTAACCGATACAAAAAAATGATGTGCTGGAATTTCTTTTTATTTATAAATTTATTTATTTATTGTGAATGTGACAAAAAAATGTGTGCTGGATTTTTTTTTTTTTTTTTTTAATGTTGACAAAATGAAAAGCATTATGACCGACTTGTTCCTCGTCTTGGTTGTCAGTGACGCGCAACAAACGCATCGATCTGCAGAAGAAACAGACCCAGCGCAGCGTCTTCCGCTGCAACGTCCTCGGCGCTCGAGCCAGCGGCAAGAGCGGCTTCTTGCAGGCCTTCCTGGGAAAGAACCTTCAGGTCAGTTGGTGAACACGCGCCAGCGCGGTTGCAATCCGCTCGCAATTGGCGGTTACATGATCAACTGAAATAGTTAGGGAGAAATGGGTCCCGTGTCATACCAAGTAGAAATACCAACCCCGCCCCCAACGCATCCACAACTTCACAGCGAGGGTCCACACCACAGTGATGATTGCCCAGTCAAACTGCGGTGCTTTATTTGTTTGGTTGTCAAGAACAGTCAATTGCAATTAATGGGAAGACGACTCCACGGAGCAGAACAAATGAATTAAACCGTCTTAAAGGCCACCAGCTCGGGATCAAGTGATCTGTCATTGTTTCTAATGGGCTTGGTTTTTTTGTCACCATAGCGACAGAGGCGGATTAGAGAAGACCACAAGTCCCTGTACGCCATCAGCACAACTTACGTGTACGGTCAAGAGAAGTACCTGCTGGTAGGTGATTTTTAACTAATAATATAAATAGTGAGGGGAAAAAAAGGGTGAATTTCATGAGTGGGCCTTCTGTGGGAATATGGTTGAAGCTGTTTGAAAATTTTGTTTTATATGGACTGTGTTTTCATGACCAGAAGGGAAGTCTCGAATGGTGCTATTTCTGGATTTAACACACACACACACACACACACACACACACACACACACACACACACACACAAGAGGCATTGTATGATTGGACGCGGGCGTGGTAAAACGTACGCTAGCTTAAAAAATACATGCTAGCGTATTTTTTTTTAAAAAGGCAGCGGGATTAAAACTGAGTTTGGTTGTTCTCTATTGAATTATTTAACAACGTACTCATGGTATTTTTTTTTTTTAATCAATCTCATCCTGACATTCATTAAGGTCCTAATCTTCTGTCATGGTCATGAAAATACGCTATCAATGTTTTGCGACAAAGGTGTCTTCGGTATAGTAAATTTCAGAAAAGCCCAAGTGTGAAGATGACCATTTTTTTTTTTTTTTAAACAAAATCTCCTTCCAGCTCCATGAGATGATGCCAGATTTTGACTTCATGTCAGAGGCGGACCTCGCTTGTGATGTGGTCTGCCTGGTCTATGACGTCAACAATCCGCATTCTTTTGAATACTGCGCCAAAATGTTCAAGGTAAATACACTCGATTTTGCACTTTTAGAACACCTGGTAAGTGTACCTGTTTTAGTTTGAGTTCATCCTTCCACACCTGTCCAAAATAGATGAAATTCTGCAACACAGGGAGACCTTAAAAAAAAAAAAAAATTATTTATTGAATCCCTCGTAGCTTGGCCATGATTTAGCAGGAGCCAATTTAATCAAAGTCTTTTGTGTGCGGCAGCAATACTTCATCGACAGCAAGACGCCGTGCGTGGTGATTGCCGCCAAGTCGGACCTACACGAAGTGCGGCAACAATACAGCCTTTCGCCGCACGAGTTTTGCCGCAAACACAAGCTCCACCCGCCCCAGCCGTTCACGTGCAACACCATTGACGCCCCCAGCAAGGACCTCTACACGAGGATCACCACCATGGCCATGTACCCGTCAGTATTGAACCACCCCCCCCCCTTTTTTTTAATTAATTAATTTTTTTAAGCTCTCCGGTCGGTTGCCTCTTTTTCCACCACTCCCAACTTTTCATTGATCATATTACGCAACACATTCAAATGCTTCAATGATGAGTTCAACTTTGAAGTCCACTTTTTATTCATGTTAATTTAGAGCGTTTCAAAGCCGCCAGAGCTCAGACCTAACGTCTTCAATAGACTTTGCGGATCTTACAAGGGTGTCTTAACTCCTTGAAAGCACTCTGATCCGATTGGCTTTTTCGAGCAGATTAACCAGCGCTAAGGCTGCCAAGCCCTTGAAATCTCATTTTAGCTTTCCAGAAATGGTGTTGTCTGAACTCTGGGGGCAATTAAAAACCACTTTGCTCAGCGGAGCTTGAAACCCGCTTACTTACCTCGAGTCAATCTTGCTACTGATTAACTCATTGTTACTTAAGATGACAACCAACACAGACCCTATTGAGTTTGCTGTTCAGGCATTTTTTTTTGCCCCCCCCCAAAAAAATTTACATGAATGGAACAAGTACGACACGACTCTCGAATGGCGCATACCTTTCCCACCTTTGCTGTAAGGCCACCGCCAGGTGCTCTGCGTGTTGTCTGTTTTGCATGCGCATACACAAATTCTCGTGTGTTCCCCCCCACTGCAGCCACGCCCGTCTTCGCTGCATGTGCGCCTGCAACAAGTGCACCTATTGCCTGTGTCAGAACCTCCTCAAGATGGAGTTGCTGCGCAGCATTAAGGCCCAACTGCGCATGGTCGTTCGCAACAGGTTCATACGTAGTCCTATCCCGTGTTTCGGCATAGTCGCACTCCATCCCTTGTGTAGTTGTGGAAGCAGCTGCAGTTCCGTCATGGCAGCTCTTTTAGACGCCCTTGTAGTGCGTGCTTCAGAGACTAGTGCTGAATGAGTCTTTAGGAGTCATGTTGTGGAGGTTTTACTGCAGCAATGTGGACCGTGCACACAAGACTGAATCCGGGTGTGTATGAATGAGACTTGAATGCTCTGTCCGAGTTGTGTTCGAAAGGTTCCTAGGATGGCTCTCACAAAAAGTCACTGTATTAATGATTAGAAAATGCTTTGGTACAAATAAAGGCTTTCTCATCTCACCCGGTGCTGTTTTCACCAGGCACATGGCGCAAGCAGACTTGAAGAACTCCACGTTCTGGCTGCGGGCCAGCGTGGGGGCCACAGTGTTCGCCGTGCTGGGCTTCGCCATGTACAAAGCGCTTCTCAAACAACGGTGATGAGACGCTTGCATCCTCAACGCCCGCGATTCTTTTTTCCTGTCCTGTCCGTCACCTGAAAGACTGACCGACCAATCAAGCGGGTTACGGCCCGCTTGATCCTGCCTCCCCTTTGCCTCATTCATCCCGTTGACGTAAGAAACCATTTTGTATGCATTTAATCATGAAGTATCAATCCTCTTTTTTTTTTTTTTTATGGGTTTTTTTTTTCGTTTTTTTTTTGGGCAGGAGTAAAATGCAACTTGTGAATGCCTACCAGTCAATTGTCAAACACCGACACTGTGTCGGTGTTTGTGTTTAGTTTCTCCTCAGGTCAAGTCGAGGCAGCCACAAAGGGAAGCGAGTGTGTTCATAGATGTGTATATGCAGTATATTATGGATATAGTTCTGAGGGGTTTTTAGCAATGACCAGGGTGGCCTCTCTTTTGCCTCATCTAGTTGCGTCTAAAACAAAAAAACTTCACCTTCACTCATGGATGTCATGCAGCCATTTTTGATTTAATTTATTAACGCGTCAACCTGTTTTTTTTGAGTGGTTCCCATGCTACAAATATATTTTTCATGTATTTTTGTATTTAGTGCGATCAAAGCTATTTCCTTGCTGTTTTTAACGTATATTTGTTTTCAACCTGAGCTTCTCATTTGTTAGATTAACACATTACTACACCATTTCAGCAGCCAAGTGTTTCCCCTTCCAGTCTGACACAATTTTTTGAGTTCATGGGTCAAACGACGGCTAATTTAACAAGTCAAAGAAATGGTTTTAACTATCTAATAAATCACATTTACACTCATTGATGTTTGTGTTATCGCGGAAAGAGCATTCTGAGAGTGGATTACATGACATGTTTATTGCACATCCATCCATAATTTACATCTCATAGTTTAGATTCACAGTCAGTACAACATAATCACTTTTCCACAATTGAACTAGTGCAATGTCCTAAAAGCTTTCACTGGTTTATTTTTATATATGCTCAACTGTAACTACTTGGATTTGTTTTCCCTTCCCAAAAAAGACATTGAAAAACAAAAAACAGCACTTCCAACTCCCAACAGCAATTCCATGCAAGTTTAAATAGCAGGGTGACATTTTAAATAGAAACATCTGAGCACTATCAAGCCATCATCAGGAAAGAAACTAAAAATAGGCTTAGCTGTGGCTCTTTTTTGACCCCCCTCGCCCCATACACACGCAAAGCCAAGTGGTTTCCACTGGATATTAAATCAGCTATAAAATCCTTGATCGTTGAGGCATTTTGACAAAATCTTGTCACAGCAACATGATGAAACCTTGGAACTCTTCTAAATTTGTTTTCTTCAAATTTAGTCACAGTTCTTGTTAAAATCAGATTATCTGAGCCAGTTTTGTCATCCAACTACATTATAATGTAAAATTTGCATGTGCATTAGTAGTGTGTTAAATCATCTGCATCATTTAGTCCACATCGGAATTAAATATAGCTTACAGTTTTAAAACATAGATTTTAGTATTTGAATGTTTGTCAGTTATGTTAGTATTTTGTTATACAGTAAAAAAAAAAAAAAAAGAAGACTCCTATAGAAAAAAAAATTCCAAGATTATGCACATCCTACTTTACAACCATATTTTGAGATTCACGTTTTTAAGTCACATTCACAAGCGGATTAAATATCAATTATATTTATACTGTATGTGATACAACTTCATTTTCCCCTGCTCCCAAAATGTATTTAAAAAGTAAGGTAACAACAAAAGGAAGTACTCAAGTGTCAGAATGGCATTCAGGCCTGCGACTGCTCCCTGAGGAACTCCTCGAGGACGGCGATGATGCGGCAGGCTTCGGGCAGGTCGCTGTGCTCGGACCGGGCGTTCTGCAGGAGCACGTCGCCGTTGCCGCAGCCCTGCAGGAACTGGCAGCAGCGAAACAAAGCGTAGTGGCTCATCTCGGCCTGACGCACGAAGCGCTTCAGGCTGTTCATGTCCTGGATGGCCTGTGAATAAAGGAGAGTCAAGAGCGTCGAGGCGGGAGTCCCGAAGACATAACCGGTGTGTGTTTTCCTACCTTGAGTTTGAAGTTCTCCAGGATCTGTCTGAGGAGGAAGGGGTTGGCCCGTTCTGCGGCGTTCAAAAAGGCCTGACTCCAGTCGTCACAGAAGCGGTTACTGACTGCGCAACACAAAATATACACGACGGTATAATACGATTGATACGCTTGATGCGTCAGGATGACTGACCGGTGTTGGCGAAGGTGGGCGGCGTGTCGGAGCAGTCGACTGTCAGGTGGGAGTGCACGTCCTCCGACATGGCCTTGCAGAGGGAGGCTGCCGTGGTGTCTTGCTGCGACAGGCCCTGCAAGCTGGCTGCTTTGATGAACCTGTGCGGTCACGGCGCACTCCCATCAGTACACACGTTACTACAAACACAAACACAGAGGAAAACCAAATCCTCTCACCGGGACACGTCCGTCTTTGTCCTGTCGTCCGCATTGGTGACCTCCACGTGATGGTGACTCAGAGCCTGGAGAAAGAGCCTAGTGTAAGCACAACTACTGCCATCTAGTGAAGAGTGGTGATATTGCAACTTATCACGACAGCCAACCCCCCCCCACTCACGGATGCGCACATTGGCAGATGAAGCGTAACACTCACGGCATGCAGCAGGAAGCTGATGTTGCTCTGCACCAGTTGCACAACGCGGTGAATGTGCATGACAGACTCTTCGTACCAGCGACTCAGATAGGGACGCAGCTCCGTCTCCAGGTTTTGTAGCTGTCGCGCACATATGCAAAAATCGAGTCGATTTATCGTCATATATGACGCTGGAAGAATCACTCAAATGAGTTTGAGCTCTTTCAGTACCTCGGGCGTTTGCAGACTGCTGCGCAAGCCTTGAACGTACTTATCAAGCTCTAGCCTATATGTGCACCCAGTCAAGGACCACAGCAGGATGAGTGTGGATGTGACATGCCCAACAAGAAAAAAAAAAAAAAAAGGATATAAGTTGAGTCCTTTTTCTGAGCCTCCCAAGAAGCAGATGACGTGTCCATTACCGTCGGCATCGGGTTGCTCTGGAGATCGTTCTTGCTCCAGGAGGCAACAGTAGCAGCCCACTGCCTGCTCTGGAAGGCTGCAAAGAGAGACAGAAAAAAAACAGCAGAGGGCATGTTAACGAAGTACACAGTATTAAATATTGAATTCTTCTTAGCATCACCTGAGCTCCACAGTGGCGATGTTGCCCATGCCTCCCAGCAGGGCTCCTTTGCTCAGCCTCCTGGAGATGTACGTGCGAAGCTCGGGTTCCGCCTCTGCGGGCAGGCTGCTGTCAATCAAAGTCAAGCTGGAGGGCGGAAGGCACAGTGGTCAGTACGGCTACGTGCAGCCATGGGCCATGAAGAACCCGGGAAGCCACTGAACAGGAAGCAGATGGAGAAAGCTACACAAACACACACAGTGGAATACAGCATTTAAATTATGACTTGCATCAAGGGTGGGTAACCTTTTGATTTCTTTATTTTTATTATTTTGTAAATCAGTGATGTCAGAAAAGCAAAATATATATATATTAGTAGTTAGCTTCTTTTCACAAAAAGCATATTTTCTTTTTTTGGGGCCAGAAACCGGTGTTTCAGTGAAACCATTTCATGTTGCCGATTACTAAAGAACAGAAAAAGCTCAAATCAAACTTTTTCTGGGAAAAGAAGATCGTCTATTCTTTTTTGGAGTAAAATTGGACTGGTCATGTATGGACCATATTCCCTAAGTTGCCCAACCCTTGTGGTTTTCCATGGAAATCATTCCTTTTCATAGCCAACATCACATCTAGCAGGTGATTAGGAGACGCCGGAAGGCGATGATCACTGAGGAAGTGAAAATGCAATGAAAAACAGATGCAATGTTGCTTCCCATGGCAGCCTGCGGATGTGCACCAAAAGTGAGAGAAGAAAGCGAGAAGGCGGCGGCCGGCGCGGGGCACAACAGCTCCTGGGTTACCTAAAGTCCTCCTGACTGGTTGTGGAATCTGCGCGTCTCTGGTTCCAGGCCACATTTTCCTCAGTGGCCTCCGATCTATGACAATACGCACTTCCATCATCACCTGCTTACTGTATCATTGCACACGTGGTGCTTGCAGATAAGGGATGAATACAATCATACATGAATACAATGTCAAGTAAAAATGTCACTTAAAACACCTAGTAGATTACATAGATACGAGGGAAAGTTTTACAAGAATACACAATTCTTATCGCGAAGAAATACAAAAATAAGTTACCTCGTGCCTTCGTATAGATAAATTGCATAATAGCAGTTCAGCTGAGTCTTTTGGCCGTACGCAGCAATTTCCTCGCTTTCGAAGTCATCTTTCTCCTCCACGTCAATGGAATCTTGGAATGACGACGTCTGGGATGTAAACATGGTCAGGACAATGCACCGAGAAAGCTAGCAGCCGGCTACACAAGCGTTAGCCAGTGGTTTTTAAGTATCGTTGACGCCTGGTTTGACCGCTGTGGTCTTTCACGGAAGAAAAAATGAGATATATGATGCAGCGCTATTGCAAATTATTATGGAAGGTGCAAGTAGAGCTTGTTATTCTGTATGCGTAAAACATGTGCGTCCTCAAATGAGTCCGACCGCAACAAATTGTATCAAATCTCATAGGTTCCTACTTATTACAGTAATTTAGCTACTCAATTCGTCGAAATTATATTGTATATCATTACAATATGTAAATTAACACAAAACGCTAAATACTGTGAAGCAGTGATTCCAATTATCCCATTAGCGTGCTTGTCAAAACATCAGGCGTGGCACAGAAAATTCCACGAGATCACGGCTGTCAAACATTTTATGTGGCCGACAAAGGCAAATCGTGGGCATTTTGTTTCTTACAAATTGTCTTCACTGTTTTTGTTCCCAACCCCACTTTTAAAATAAATTGATTTTTTTAAACTGGCTTCTGATTTCTAAAGTAGTTATCAATTCGTTGCACATCCAGCAGCTCCGATATTTTGTTGTTCTACTTCTTCCATTCATAACTTTGCTGCTGTGAATTGGGAATTTCTCCATTGCGAGACTAATAAAGGTTTTCTTATCTTATCTTATATGAAATGAGGCGATCATACACCTGCTGTATGTGGGTTCAGTCATAAAGTCACACCGCGGGAGTGACGCAACAGCGCACAGTATGGCACCAGCTTCCCGCCGTAATTCAGGCAGAGCTGCCAGGGAAGTCTCATGGTAAGTCACGTTTCATTGACGGTCCCGATTCATTTATAGTTTAATTACAATATTTCACTTTGTTTTTCCTTTTTCTACGGTGCTATGTCTTTAATTAGTTCCCTGATTTGTCCCAAGTCCAAATCGCTTTTTGTATTATTTTACATTTTGTCGAATGAAAGATTTTTTCACCCGTTGCGTTAATAAAGCTTTTCTGTTACTCAGCTATGTCCGACACCAAACGCGACTTCACCATTCCCCTGCCATACTGTGTTTCAGGCAGAGCTGCCAGGGAAGTCACATGTAATAAAAAAAGAGAGAAAAGCCACACTCCACGCGTCTGGTTTTATTGAGGCGGCAGCGACGTGGAGCTTGAGAACATCACAGTTGTGAGCCCCGTCACATATGCATATTCTGTGCTTCTTGTATGATGTTCTGGCAACGACTAAGAAAACAGAGCCATGACAAATGCACGAATGACTACAATTGAATAACAGTTTATTACACTATATTTGTGCAAATTTATCCAACTGCAAAACTTCACATATGACACCTGCATGCCATGCAAGGCCAATGACTCCTCCACTTCAGTCATGCAGCTGTAGCCCCATCTGCTGAAGTTGGTTGGTTGCGGCACTGCTTGGCCCCGATGCGAGTGGAGGGCAACAACACATTCTCCTCATGATAAAAATACAACCAATGAGACAGTTGTAAAAAGGACTATTTATTATATAGGCCACCTTGTTGCTTGCCGACGTTTTTGGGCAGAATCACAAGAGGGCCTAGAACAATAACATCACACATCTTGGCACCTGAAAGAGAATGAAATCCTGTAAAATTGCAGCATTTGAATTGTTACAGAGGCTCCTTGAGGGTCTTACCAGGAGGTTTCAGATGTTTGTAGGAGTATTGTGTGCAGGTGGTGTCACAGCAACGACACACATCAGGGCTCCCATCTATGTTTTCCCATCTGATGAAGAAATGCAGTGAGTTCCCACAAATTCATCAGAGAGGATGTTTACGTGCCTTGGTGCATGACCTATTAAATGCTACGGTGTCCATTACAGCTACCATTTGAGGAACTTTAGTAAGAACATTGAAGTTAAAAAAAAAAAAAGTCCAAGTTGTCACCTTGAATGCATATAAGTACAGGCCTTGTGAGCTGTGTTGCTCCTCCGCATTTCAGAGGTGGCTTTTAGCCGGCATGTTAGAAAGAGCTGGCGGGAAAAAAAGACAAAAGTTGAAAGAATCTATTGCGAAGCTGCAGTCAGTGGCCCGTCAGCAACTCTCACTGTGTTTCTTTCATCCCCGTTAAACAGGAAAGCGTCCAGCTGCAGCTGGAGAAGGTCCGGCCTCACTCTGGACAGGAAGCGTGCTCTTGATCCACGCTGTTTTGAGTCCGCGAGACACCTGGGGGACAGACGGCCGTGACATCAGCGAATCTAGATGCAAAAAAAAAAAAAAAAAAAAAAAGACACTCTTTGCATCGTACCCGTTGTTTTCAATGAGGAAGTATCGTGGCACTGATGCTGCCTCTGGGCTCAGAGTTGCCACACAGCTGTCAATGAAGAGCCGTCTCTGTTCCGGGCCATAATTGGTATAGGACGCTTCCAGGTTGAGCACATCTCCAAGATAGAAGACATTGGACAGCCTCAGTCTTGTCCAGTTTTCTACAATACATACAAACAGTACACGCAAACATGAACACACAAATTCAACATGCAAACGCACAAACAAACACCACGTTATACACAAAGCCGCCAACGTTCTCCCTTACCGGACATCAGCCTCAGGGAGAAGGGCGAGGTCTTTGGAGACGCAGCAACAAACTGAAGTGGCAGGCGAGCTTGACTGCTCACAATGTGTGTCCTGTACAAACACACAACGCGCTTACAAAAACAGAACACATTGTTCTACCATTGAGAACTTGGGAACACAACATTGTGGCGAATGTCAACCGCAGAAACTTTAGCCCAGCACAAGGAATTTTTGGAGGGCCCTTGATGGACTGATAATTCTCCATCCAGGAATTAAATCAGGTGAAAACATTTTAATTCTAGTCTCAAGCCTACAACTATTCATACACTTAGTCAATGTTACTTTTTGTAGTGACAGGACACAGGAACAACCATTTGGGTCTGCCTTGTGATGCCATGATGGGGAGCAGGGGAGAAGGTCAGCTGGTTCGAGTAGATCAACGAGTCGTCAGATACCTGCAGATGGAAAAGGTTTGCTTTACAAATTAGGCAACTGGCACACAATTATTCACAGCATTTGTGGGAAGTAGTTTTCTTGCACAGTGGCTACAACATTCCCTGCAGACCTTTTGTGGCAACTTGGGTGGCTAGTGGCACTTGTCAAGGCTCTCTGTTACAAACTCCTACTTGTTCGATTTTCATATAGGAGGATCTGGAGAAAAGGCTGTTAAATTTGATTGTTTGAAGACTAATGGAAGTTGAGGGGTTCGTTGTTTATGAATTTATGGCTCTACGTTAAGAACGGGCAAAAGGAGAGATGGACTCCGTTTGAACCCAGTTTATTTCCAAACGTCTGCACCGCAGGACGATCGAGAACACACTCCCGGCAACTACAATCACTTCCTGCTTTCCCTGACTTAAACAGCCAATCAGAAGCTATCAACATAAAAACATGTCTAAGCAATTATTAAACAGAGCGCAATTTAGGTAATCTTAACATAGTATGATGCTCAAACATAAAATTATCATAATTAACAGTATAGCATAAGCTTACATTAATATTTAGAGTTCACGTTTAAAAAGGAAGTGTTTACACGAAATTCTGAAACGCCATCAAAATAGCCCGCCCCCACCTGGCCCACAGCGGGATACTCACTGACAGCTGGGTGCCGCAGTGCTGGAGACCAGCCTTGATGACCACCTCAGAGTCATCAGCACGTTGGGCCTGGCATTGTCTGAAGCCGGAATACTCAACACCACCCAGGAAAATCCCATCGGGAGACACTACCGATCCATACACGTCAGCCTTGACCTGTATGATCATTAACGTCGGCGTGCATGTCACACGCACAGGGGGCGAGAACACATCGGTTTGGATTTCGCTTCCGTCCTCACTATCAACGATAACAACGGGGGACTTGTACTCCCTCCCATCTTTGTCGATCATGGGTCCGTCCTTTAAAGTCCGAATGGCGAGGGACATTGGCAGGAACAGCGAGAAACAGAAGTACACCAGCATTGTGTTCATCACTAACATGTTAAGACAAACACAAGCGAGCATACTCCATTCGCCTGTTAGCTGGACTAGCATGGAAGTCCAACCAACCGGGTCACCTGGGTCAGACGGCTGTAAGCAATTAAATACTGATTTGATCACCTTCGATTGGCTGGCAACAATTTTCAGGCTGTCCCCCACCCGTGCCCGAATTCAGCTGGGATGACTTAAATATTAACGGCCTCGCAATTAGCCCCTTCCGGCTGAAGAGGGCAGCCATCTTACGATGCCAGTTTTACTGATCCCTGTGTATGCAGTAATGAGAGCCTCTCAAAGAATGATCTTCAATATTTGCATAGACCATTCAGAGTGTATCATCTCAGTGTCCGGCTTTGCTTTCATTTCATTATTGGTGGTTGTGACAGCATGATGCGTGTATCTCGGTGTAGCAATCGTAGATCTTAAACGACAAAATTAATGACCATTGTGGTTTCCTGGACAGTAGGGGGCGATATGAACTAAAGACATCCAATTCACCAAGAAGAATAAGTACAAGCACAAGAATGGTACTACATCCGGTTCAATTAGCAAGTTTTTCCGCTGTCCACAAGTCCTGTTCTCAGTGAGTAATTTTAATATTATAAACGGACTTCGCCATTTATCTGTGAGTGTATTGATGTAGACCTTTGGGGGGCGTTACTACGACACGTTGCTCCTCTAATTTTGTTGTTGTGACTCACTAAGTCACTGGAAGTTATCGTAAAAAACAACGTCATCAAAGGGCAGAGTGAGCGAGCACGACGCCGACAAGTAGACCTCAGCTGTCAATCAAAAAGCAATCGAGAACAGCGTTTGACTTGAATACTATTCTGTATGTTTTCCACACCAAAGCTGCTATCAGCAGTGGAAGTGTGATGGCTTCACATCATGGGGGGCAGATTTGTTTCAAAACTATTCACACAAATACACCCGTGACTTTGTTCACTTGTTTTTCGAAAGGAGGTTGCTCATTGTACTTTAGGTGTGGGGGGAGAATCGCGAGTGAATCGCTCAAAAAGATGCATTGCGAGTGCCGACACGTTTGGAAATGGACGGGTTTAAAGTAAAAGTCTCCCACTTTACGAATAATGATTGAATGATGAATTAAAAAGAAAAAAAACAACTTTTTTATGGACTACAGTGTGTGACTTTCCACTTTTGTTTCTTTGCACTCAAATTAAAAAGAAAAAAAACAACTTTTTTATGGACTACAGTGTGTGACTTTCCACTTTTGTTTTGTTTCTTTGCCTGACCAGATTAGTCAGATTACTGGGCCAAAGGCGCAGCCGCCAGACTCGGAGGACATGCGGAAGGGACGCCAACCTGCATTTGGACACGCGTGAGTACTGAGCTGTGTGGTGTGCTTGAAGAGCTGATGTCTGATGTCACGTTGCACCACAAGATGGAGGTGAGTGTGCCCGCCTGTCTGTCTGTCTGTCTGTCTCTCACTCAACTTAAATTTCTGCTTCGTGTACTGCACAACAGTGGCAACTCCACATAGACAACCCGAGCATCATCAAGCACTTCTGGAATATGTTTTTAAACCTTGAAGTGGACCAAGTTAGTTTAAAAATGTGTCTATGTATGCGCATATATATATATATAATATCTGTGTCTTGAATTTGAGTCTTTGCCTATCATGACCAAAATCCATCAAAAAACTCACTTGAAGCCTTTTCTTGAGCTCAGACTTGCGCTTCAGTCACATCAGACACTCTTTTCACTGTTCCCGTTGGTCTCCGTATGACTCGAAACTCCAGGAAGCGAGCTTTTGGTTCATGTGAAACCGACGGGAACTGTGAAAAGACCCAAGTGTAAGTCTGAGCTCAAGACTCAAGTGGGACTTTGAAAAAGTGCTGCAATGCCCGCCCCAAACCACACCCAATTTGGCATCCACCAATCGAGGTGAGCCCCTTCATTTGCATAACCCAAATTCTAATTTGCATAACCACGCCCATTCCTACAAATCACAGCCTGTTATCGTCATGCTCCACCCACTTTCACAGCTATCAGCGAATCATCAGCCATCATTCCAGACAGGCCACACCCACTTTCCTGGATTTTTCTGCCTGGGAAAAACCAATTCAGGAAAAAAAAATTTAGAAAAAAAAATTTGAAAAAAATTCAGAAAAAAAGTTGAGGAAAAAATTGAAAATAATTAAAAAAAATTTAAAGTTAGATTGTGGTGATGTGTTTAAAAATGAAGTTGAGTTGAAGTGTTCTTTGTAATCAAGCTTTATTTCTTTTGCAGAGTAGACAATCACAAAAGCAGAGGAAAAAGTTGCAAGTCGAATGGCAGTCTGCTTATTGTTGGGTGGCGAAGTGGTCAGCTCTTGAGAAGAACGTGGGACAGGTGTGTTGACCTGAGTGGAAAGGCATCCGTGAGTTACATGCAAGTAAATTTCTTGTGCAGACAAATATGTGTTGGGCATGAAACTTACCAGGGAGATAGAC